GAGGAAGTGGCTTTAGTTTCTCAGTGCAGTGCTTTAACCCGCTGCGCCACCAGGGAGGGCCAGTTTTTATTCAATTTTTAAGAAAATTAATTTTAAATTCAATGTTGCTTAATGGTTACATAAAATAATTTGTTTCAAATTTAAATGTATAAATATATTAATAGAAACCTTTGTTCTGTTCTTACACCCAACTGCTGTTACCTTTCTTCCATATATGACTTTTAAACGTTTCAGTTTTTTCCTTTTAATTATTAATGTGAGTAAATATGTCCATATATCAACACTTTCTTCTTTATTAAATGAACACAGTCTTACCATACAATATATCCTAGCACTCATTATCTGAATGTAGATAAAGATAGTACTAATTTCTTTTAAGAGTATCAATTATAAATCCTGCTTTTGATTATTTGGAGATATATGCTACTACTCCTCTCACATTATAAGTTCCCATAAAGAGGAAGTAATATGCTTCATTGATCTTCATCCTCCCGCAGTAGCTAGGATAGGATTTTGCACATTGTAAACTCTATGAATATTTAATTAGTGAAAATTTTAACCATGATAAATGTCAGCCTTGAATCACATTTAATGATTATATGCAAAAATATTGTGAAAACTACTAATATTTAGGGACTTTTTAGATATATTTTCTATATCTGTATTCCCAAGAGTGAAGAACTTTTTTCTCATTCTGAAATTATTTATTATATATGAGAAGCCAGATACATGTAACAGATATTCTCAAACCTTTTCAAATTAGTCTTGGGTTGAGCTATGTTTTAGAGAATTAGATTTATGTTTCTGATTTCTACTTTTAAGAGAGCATAAAGTGATTTTGTATCCTTGATATCATCCAAGGTCAAAAAATAATTTAAAAGGACCTATGATATAATTTGAATTGGAAATTTACTGTGCAGGACTGAAATGCCAACATTGACATTGCACAGAACATAGAGAATCTAACCTAGCAAACTGCCAAAGTTCATCTAGCAGAAGATTTTAAGAACATGGAATTACTGAGGAAGTGAATCAAGTAGGTTTGTGAGTTCACATACATAGCAAGTGAGAAGTCCTAGCAAGCAGGCAGATACCCAGATTGTACCTCAAGGGCCCCATGTCTCAGGAAGAGATGCAGAGCCCAGTGAAAGTGTTGTCTTAGGTATGCTGCATTTAAGGCTATTGTTTCAGTTGTGAGTCATAAGATCCAAGTTCTTTGGATCAAAAATAGGCTCTGCTTTAACCCTAAATAGCTCCTCTGATTTCAAGATCACAGATAGCTCTGATGGCATTAGTGACAGTGCTATAGTACCTCTGTGACAAATAACCACCATTATACTTGGAATTACTGGTTACAGTTTATATTCTTTCTTGTTGGAGAAACTTCTGTGTTATGTAGTTCTGGTCCCTATATCTGCTCATGATGGTAGTAGGTAATTCAAACACTTATAAGACTAAATTGTAAAGCTTGATGATACATTTTCTAATTTAGATCTTATTTAATGGGCAGCTCAACCTGAGATGTAGATAATATACCTCTCGTTATTCTGAGGATAAAGTCAAATGTCAGAAAACTACACAGTGGTAGAGATGGATGGAACCTGAGACCACCTAAATGCAAAGTCCCCAGTTTGTGCTCAATACCACACCCACCTGCTGCTAAGTTTTCAAAGAATCTGTGATTTGATTTTCTCACCCTTCCTATAATAATACATACACGCCGTAAGTAAATACTGTAATTATTGAATTAACTCAATTGTTTTAGTGCAGATGATATATAGTAAGTGGTAACCAAGACTCCTCTCCTTCGCCATGCTTTATTCAGGCTTTGCTGAGCCCTCTTCTTGCTTAGACTTTGCCCTTGCCAAAGCAAGATCAGGTTTCACCAAGAATACTGCTATCTCAGTTTATTTTGATTACCTACTGTTGATATCTCAAGTTACTCTTCCTCCAGCCTTGATATTTAAATCCTTGTGTTGTACTTAGCAAGAATTGTGTTAAATCAGTTTACCAAGAATATATCAGCCTTTGGATCTGTAATGAAGTTACTTTTAGTAATTTTTCATTCACTGACCTTCATGCTAATCATAGGTTATGAATCCCTAGCTGTATTCTGAGTTCAGTTCTATCTTTCTCCATTATATATCAATAGTTGTGACTAAAAGGGTCCTTGCCAAATTTAGCAATTGCTGGTGTAATATTTTATTATCAGTAATAGAAAATGGGGATATGTGGATTTTCCATTATATATTTTTTTAGAGTTACTATCCAATTCTCTGATCATTCATGTTTGAGAATTTGAGACTAACAGATTGATGTTATATTTTTTAATACTCAACACCTTTTATTATTCAGCTCTAAGCAAACCAGTGAGAATTAAAATTGTCCTTTTTTCTGATAGCATTGCTCCCCT